GAACTAAAACTAGATCTACATGAAGAATTTTTATAACTCACAACTATAATTTTCACTTACACACAATAAAACTAACTTCAAAATATTAGAATATTTAATTAAAGTTTCGCGTAATTAAATTTTATCGTAATAATTAATACGTATTTGCTTTCTCATTTATGCAATAATAACTGTTAATTGTATTGCTAAAATATGCTAGCAAAATAATAAACGAACGAATAGATTCGATGAAGTGGTGTACAATACGAATTACCTTCATTATTATGTAGAACACATTGAATTCTTGCTGTACCTGACAGATCCAACATTACATTTCAACAGTGAAAGTAATCGGGTAGAAGAAATTTATTCCTAAACATAAAGAATATTATTATTGAAAATAATATTCTTTATGTTTAGGAATAAATTTCTTCTACCCGATTACTTTCACTGTTCAAATTTTGCCTTATTCTTTACTTTCGAATTACCTTTTCCCAAAGCGAAAATATAATGTTATTTCGAATTAAGCAGAAACTAGATTAAGAAGAAATATACAATTAATTAACAAAACCATATTGTTTTATTTTTATTTTTAAAAAGAATCAACTTTTGAGATTGTGAGTTATTATAATAAATTCTCAAAGAACTATACAGTGCACAGGATCATCTACAGAACAATTGGAAATTTTTAATAAGATGTAGTACTGATAAAATTAAGTAAAACATTTATACATAATATAAGTTTGTAACAATTCTTTCTTTTCCATTTGCTTTTGTTCTAGATCAACCTGTAGATATGAAAAAATTAAACTACATGTGTAATTATAACTAAACTTTATTCAGTATAATAGCTTCATTCATACGTTTGAACTCAAAAACAAATTATTCTTAATTTGTACTAATAATACTATTAATATATATTCGCATATTAATTCTTACATATGTATATAAAAATTAAAAATTATAATGTAGAAAAGTCGCGGAAACATGTTTACTAATTATATAAGAAAAATATCTTTATCATGTTCCACTTTATATTTAAGACTGCAATATTACGTGAATCCAATATTAGCCAATGTGAATTTCTTATCTGTCATAAATGGTGACGAAAATTTACGAGTGCTGATTTCAAGTGGTTTACTTTTCTCAATATATTCCATTATCTTACTTAAATTTTCTTGCGATAGACTTTGAAATGCTTTAGTGTCCCTAAATTCTTTTATGTGAAGTTTAATAAAAGATGCCGAATGCGTTTCTAAAAATTTTGCATTAGACAAGATCGCAAGCTGTATAAGTTCCACAGCACTTTCAAACGTAATATGGCGTAATAAATAATGTTCACATGCTAATTTCAAAGTTGGTACATCATACTTATCAGCCGCTGTTAATAAATTTTTAAGCATGTAATAACGTTGTTCCAGTTGCAACGTTGAGCCAGTTGTAATATACATTAAAATCTGTTCAAAAGATTGTATCTCATTATCCGTTACTAATTCATCTGTCATATCTTTTACCTTTTCCTTATGTGTAAGGCAGATATACTTAAAATAACTACTGTCGGTGGCGCGCAACAATTTTCTTGATATAACATATTGGTTTTTTCCTACTATAAATTCGATTGATTCCTCATCTTTACACCGAAACTTATCAACGGTCGAATCTTCAAAATATGTCACGTCGTTTGAAAATTCTGTTAAAGATGGTAATAAATTCATACGTATAGTTTTATCTATTAGATTATGAAAAATTTCAAACTTGCAGTGTACTATAAGCGCACCTGTTCGATCAAACAAAAATCTCTCTGGCGAGAACTCAATTAACAATGTCATATCGGATATGTGACCTGAAATAAAGTTTGATGACAAATACTGTCTCGGCGCATACGTTATAGTAGTGGTACATGAACCACAAAATGAAT